CGGAAGCACGAGTGGCTTGCATCTTCAGGGCTGGTTTGCTCGAGGCAGTCAGAAATAATTATTTTCCACAGCGACCAAAACGCTCACCAGCTTCTAACCAATCTTACTTGAAACATTTTTATGCGGCAAACTACCCAATAACTTTGAATTTTTGTTCATCCCTGTTAAGTACTGAAACTCATTTTCACTCTGACTAAATCACATTTCCAAACCATTTATTGGCATACAACCAGCGATTTGTGGTGTAGTAGGCCTGAATTTCCACGCGCAAGCATAGGCGGTTTCTGTCAACGGGCCTATATGCCCATGCGGCCGGGAGTTATTCAATTGCAAATTGCTCTTTTAGGGCAAGTAACGACAGGAATTTCTAAAAAAACATTGTATAAGGAAAGATAAAAGTTTCCATAAATGCAACTTGGCTAGCAATGTAAGCTTTGTCGGCGACTGGTTGAAACTGCGGAGATTTTCGGGCTCTCAGACCGTCTTTGGGTATGTTGCAGCGGAAGCGAGCACACCTCTGAAGACGCAAACCACTCGTGCTTGCGAAACGTCGGAAAAACATATTTCCCCGTCTGCCTAAAAACTCCCCAGTTCCACACTAACTGTTCACCATAATTGCTCAACCGGTTTCATAGCAATATTTGGCAGCAATTAAAATCGAGTTAAGGGTGCTAATGTTTTTGAAACGTGACAAATCCCCTGCTTGAAATACAACATCAATAATAAATCGATTATAGAAATTGTCGAACGAAAATCAAGGTCCCATCCGATCGTTATAAAGCAGATTGGCCCATTAACGTGCCCGTTCAATTAAAAATGTATTAAACAAGAATTCTCTTGCGTGCTAATGCGAATTACCAAAGTGACTCAAAAAAAGTGGCCGGGCGAAGAACCGAAATCGGGTTTTCGGAAAAGTCATAAAAAATTGAAAACCCATAAACTGAAATTGGCGAATTGAAATATTGCGATAACGGCGATTGATTGCAGTTTTAACTGCCGGTTTATGTGTTGCAGATTGGAAAATAATTGCATGTTGGTGGCGAAAAAGCCAAAGTGTAGATGTTTTAGCAATTGTGAGTGTGTGTGGCTTTTCCAGGCGAACGTTCTCAGATCCCCAAGCAAAATTATATTGATTGCAGACCATGACGGTAGCGGAAATCCAGGCGTATCCAAAAACGCGACTCGACATGTCGGCGTTCCAGGAAAAGTGTCCGATGGAACCTCCCCAGGAGAAAACTCTGGAAGCGCACGACAACAAGAGCTACTCCGGCCTGCTTCCAGCCGAAGTGGGCACCGACTACTCCTTCAAAAGGAAGATCGTTTGGAAGAATGCGATCGGCTTCTTCGCCCTTCATCTGGCAGCAGTTTATGGACTGTGGCTGATGGTCGCTGACTGCTACTGGAAAACCGACATCTGGGGTAAGAAACTGTTCTTAGGTCAAGGTTGAGGCGAAAGAATCGAACTACGTGCGGCCAAAAGAATCTCGCAATTACAACCAGACTATACGGTGATTACTTTCACTGGATCAGCGTGGTGGTCACCTAAATGGTATGCCGAATACGTCTAGTTAATCTCCTAATAGACTAGATTATGCGCATATTATTATAGTAAATCGTACCAAATTATTTTTAGATTTAGTCGGCATTCACCTAGAAATGCGCACATGCGAGCTTAATGCCCAAAAGTTGTCGTCGTTTTCTTCGAAGTTCGTTTTTGGGAAAACTTCGGAGCCGCTCATTGCAATGCCTTCTAATCCATTCTTGCCAAATTCCCTGGATAATTTCAATTTTTGTTTTATTAGGGATAGTTAATTAAAGAAAAACAAATATTGCTGATCGATCAGCAACAACAACTTCTGAGTCAATTATCCAGCTTTCGGCAGGCGCATTTTTTTCTCCTTCACGAAGGGAATTTGTCTTTCTTCCCATGCGATCACACTTTAGAAAGCAACTAATGAGTTTTTCGGGTTTTTAGGCCGTTGTAAAATGGAATTTCTTCCTGACGTTTCGCAAGCACGAGTGGCTTGCATCTTCAGAAGTGGTTTGCTTGAACGCTTACACTGTTCTCATCAGAACCCGTGCAGTTCTTCCGCAGAACTGAACGTGGGTTCTGATGAGAACAGTGTAAGCGTTCAAGCAAACCACTTCTGAAGATGCAAGCCACTCGTGCTT